CCGACGGTAGAAACTCTCTCTGTCAGAAAGCTCAGAGATACAAATGTGTTGAAAATGTATTGCATATTATATTAAAAAGTAGCAATACAATATTTTCTAACAGTTGCCTTATATTAAATAAAGAATCTGATAATTAATTGACTTTAGATAATAAAATCCCTTCGTTGACCTTTTGTAGATAAAAGCAAAGGATTGATACCCGCGTAAGATATTAAAAACATTTATTTTAGTTTAGTAAAAAAAATATTTAACTACTAGCATATTAAATTTATAAAATTTTATTTTGCACTATTTTAACTCTTATAACGTAAATGAAATAAACGTGTTTTTTTACATATAATATAAATGAGAGAGAAGAAAACTTCATGTATCTTTCGCTTCTTCACTTCGACATAAATATTTTTATTAACAGTAAGTCGAATTGGTAAAGACATCACCCATCATGGAATGTAGGGAGATTCAGGTTCAAATCCTGGCTGAGGTGATATTCTTTGCAATAAATTCTTTACAGATTAAGGATGCTTATTAGCATCAAAATGTAAATCGATTATCGATTTGTATATGTGGTTTTACTGTTTCGAGTAGCTATGTTTTAAAGACCAATAAGAAATCGGCGCGCAGAGTTTACTGATTTCGGAAAAAGTATGATATATAAAATTCACACAATATTATTAGGCTACCAAGATCCAGTCTGGAGTAAATGGCGTTTCTCTTCCTCTAATTGAATTTTTATTAATGTTAAAATACGATTAATGATATTTAATATATTTTATATATGCTATAAATATTGAGTTGAATATAATAAATAACAATTTCGTACAATAATAAATAATTTATTCGTTTAAAATTCAAGCTAAGAGTAAATTAATTATTATTTGAAACAAAAATTACGTATTCGCATTTGCCTTCAAAACGATGTTTCTCCTTACTTCTTAGTTATCGCAATATTCGCAGTCGAAGCGGTGTATCGAACTGTTTAAGCGTAAAATATGGAACTTTCCTATACGAGCTGGAATTTCCGCCAGGCTCTCGACGAGACTCTGCCTCGGAAAGGCGTGACGATAAATAAGAAGAAAACCGCGGAACTTTTATCTAAGTGAAAAAAAAATTGAGGTATCGGCGTCGCATCAAATGAATATTGGAGCGAGGGCGCTTTCCAGACCGGGAAACGGGAAGTTCCGTGACGGGGGATAAAAATCGGCCGCGACCATTGTCCAGCTGTCCGGTAATGGACGACCCTCCTTTGGCTCGAGCTAATAATACCGAATTGATCCGGGGACGTTTTGGCGATTATGTTTCACGGCGTTGCTTTCCGTGCTTGCCTTTTATATTACGGACAATCGAAAAAACCTAACTTTTTGCCCGATTTTTTCTCTTTTTTTTCGAACGATCGGCTGCCCGGTGTCCGACATCTGCCTGCCGATGTGCATCGGTCATCGGTCACCGCGTGGCGATCGTCCCGATAAAATGCGGGATGTTCTCAAAGAGTGTTATCGTATCGTGACGACAAAGCGTGAAATCAAACTCAAGTCAAGCGTCGAAGGGAATTGCACGATCTCGGGATGAAACGTCGTTCGGCGTTCGGCGATAAACGGTGGACGTTTATGGCACGTTTATAGACGGAAGTTATGCGTCTATTTCATATGGGGCGATGGAATTTTACAAACGTGCCGATTTGGAATATTAACGACGTGGAATATTATCATGACTTGCAAAACGCCCGCGCGCGCTATCACTTTGGAAAATTTTATTCACTTAACGATTCGCGATATCTTCACCCAGGTCGTACTGCCGATTATCTTTTTGAAATGCAACGATTTATAATAAAACGAACTATATTATGTATAAAATCACGTTTAACATCACGTGTGCGATCCGTCTAGATCGTGTTCGATTACACGTAATTATACTTGTCAAAATATACGAACGATAAAGCTTTTAATTAAGAAAACCTAAAATTCCTGGCTGGATTAAGATAAGTATATCTTATCGCATAAAATTGTGATTAGAAATTAAAAGATACATCGGAATTTAATATCTAACGTTCAAGAAAATTGAAATTTATGGATATATTCTTTTCTTTTTTTAAGACCAAGAGCGATTTCTTGGACTCTCTAAATCTAAAACTTATATGCTCGCCATATTGCATTTCGAAGGGAGGAGCCCTTATTTTTTTGGCTGAACAACCGCTTATTCCGCAATCATCCGTGTGACGCACGGTCATGCGACACGGCTACTTCCACTTTTTTACCGCACGATTCGATCATCCAAAGGTAGCAAAAACTATGAAAGGAAACTCGCGCGCGCCACGCGTGCAGCAAGAAAAATATCCCTGCTCGTGCATCTCCACCAAACTTTATATAAGAGAATTTTTTATGTGATACATAATTTTTCCTCAAATATAAAAAATTAATTCTTAATGAACATACAATCCTAACAAAATTTATACAATTATCTCAAATAAATATAAACTTTGTAACAGATAAAATATATCAATATATTTTATGTGTTACAAAGTTCATATTTATTGGTTCAAAATATCTTCATACAATTAATTGATAATCCCAAGAAATATTTACAATCAATTTTAATTAAACCTTAATTAAAGCCTTAATTAAAGTTTTAATGATGTAAGATATTCATAGCGATTTTTAGTGTGAACTTTGTATATTGTATTTTATATGTTACACAAAGTTCACATTAGAAATAGCAACAAATATCTTGCATCATTAAGGCTTTAATTAAGGTTTAATTAGAATTGATTGTAAATATTTCCTGGAATTAATATCAGTTAATTGTACGAAGATACTTTGACTTACTTATAGATGACAAAAATAGTGTTTCAGTTTACAGATGCTAAAACGTTATCAATTGCTCGTTTTGTTGCATTTTAAAGAGGAACGATGGTCGATGAGAACGCAAGCACCGGCGTAGGCTCTCACGGATTATCGAGTTGGATACCTCATGAAAAATTGTCGGGTTAGGGCTCGGTAGCGGTCGGCACGTAATGCCATTAATTTGCAGGAACCAATGCAGACCGCCGGCTTTCAATATCGTTATCAATACTGTATATAGAATCGCGTGACAAGTGCGTGACCGCAGATGCGGAACGCCCCCGGTACGCATGGACGTTTGCGCCCAACTGCCTCAATTTGTCTCTTAAATTATGCACGATCTCACTGAGAATAGTGGTTTTTGATCCACATCGTACATAAAGACCCTGCTTTATATCCTTCGTAATCCCACCATCATTCTTTACATATTCTTTTATCGTTGCACATGTTTGCTAATCGCTTGACCGCTCCCCAAAAATATATTTTGGTCGAAGAAAAAATTCCAGGTAATTAGGAACTCTTTTATTTCCTCGTAGTCCTTTGCACCTTACATTCGTGTTCTATTATTACGTCCGTATCCGCAATTTTCAATAAAAGTGGAATTATCGATGATAAATAATATCTACAATTCGTTGGGAGCGGAATTCAGGCGCAAACGACACGCGATAATCGATACCGAGCCGTGCGTCCGTCAAAGGAAGGGCCACTCTTCGGTAGGCTCGGACATTTTAAGAAAGAGCCTATGTGTCGTTTTCTTGGTGGAGAAAGATCCTGAGAGGAGGCTCGAGCTAGCTCGAACTTATCCGTGAGGCTAAACTAATTTGCCGCGCGCGAGGGTGGACGGTTGGAGCTTCTATAGGCGGGGTGACACGGGACCACGGTCGAACCACGGGGAACGAGGGGCGAAAGCGCGGACGAGCGGGAAGGGGGCTCTAATGCCATCGGGTGGTGGTGAGGGGAGGGGGGCAGCGAATTCCAAGTGACCAGTAAAAGTACCACCCCACACACACCGGCCTCGCTTCTCTCTTTTCTTTCATCCCCTTTTTCTCTCTCTCTTCTTCGTCGCCACTTCTCTCCTCTCCCGCCTCTTCCCCTCCGTAAGTCCCCTTTCCCTTTCGCTCCGACACCCCCGCCCTTCCGTCCCCCTCAAAAGACCTCAGTGTTACCCGAGGGGAACTGTGAACTGGGGTAAAAGACTGCTCGTGCTGGGTCGCGAGGACGACGTTCTTTACGGCTCCTACGTATGTGTGTTTCTCGCGTGCGCGTGTGTGCGTGTGTATGCGTATTTACGCGTGCGCGCGTGTTTTTTTTTTTCAGCGCACGTGTGTGCAGGTGCGTAACTTCGGAAGAGGAGGAAGTGCCTTGACGAAGAAGTTCAGTGATGGCGAGCCGTCATCCAAGTCCCCGAACTTTTTCTTTACCACGCTAATGACTTTCACTACTTTCCTGTACATGAGATGTACCACGTAGGTAAGATGGAGCGTGTTGCACATAACAACGTAGTTATATTACATTCTCATTTGCTTCTGCTTTTTCTCTATCACGTATAAAATGTTTTTTATGCATATAAAATTGATTTATGATAAATTTTATATATGTCATCTTATCGTAGCCATTTGAAAACCCTACAATTTTCAATGATGGAAAGAGATATTTTCGTGCTCAGAGATTTTGTTTTATCAGCTAAAGAAACATTGATTATTTGCGAATTTTCCATTTTTTTTTTGGACTTTTCCCTAAAAATAATTTTGGGAAATAAGAGAAACGATCATGTTGTTCGACAGCGAATATATGTGCGAAATAAAGGAAAATTTGGGGGTCGATAAGAGAAAGAAGGGAGCCTGTCTGTTCGTAGAAAGGCGTCGGCCCTGACTTTGAAAGGACGTGGGGGTGGCGGGCAGGCAGGCAGGGAGAGGGGCAACTCCGTGAGGGAAGGACGTTGAATCGTGGAACGCGCGGGGACGGGGACGCGGCGGCCGCGGCGGGCTGGAGGGTTGAATCAGCGCGGGGGTGTATGGGGGAATTAGTGGATGGTCGCGGACAATGTGGGGGATACTTTCTCATATCAAGTATGGCCGCCATCGTGGCACGATGGTCAAAACAATAGTAAGTAGCCGAGGCCGCGGGCGATTCCTCTTCTAAACCCCGTATATCGTCGCGCGCCACCATGATATATCTATCTTCTTCTTTTTTCCGTTTCGCTCCTTAATTATCGCCACCTCGCCACCTCGTCGGTACAGCGCGCGATCTGCCATTATTCCACCCTCCTCCTCCTCACAGCTTTCCAGTGCGCGGTGAACAAAGTGGTGTTATCGTCGCGTTATCGCCGGCACGCACGTCCAGCCGCCACCTCGCCGGTGCTTAACAAATGGATAATAATAAGGGGCCGTCGACGAGCCGCGATTTTCTGGGATGGTTTTACATCCACGCATCGCGCTGCTGATCACGGTGAGTGCAATCCTGCGTTCTGCCGATCGGGATTATAATTCGCGATCGGGTTCAGCTGTTCCACGATGCCACGTATGTATCGAGGAATCGAGATATCGGATATAGTTTCGCCGCTTTTAATTATTGTATATAAATATATAAATATCTGCCGAAAGCATTAAAGTCACAAAAATTATTCGATCCTTATCCTGACGATTATTCCGATAGATTGTTTCGATGAACTTTTGAAAACATCTGAATCTAAAAGATCTAAATCTCGTCGCGTATTGTGGATGGCAGATTTTATCTAGTCTTTCCCCCGGAAACATTCCCCGGACACTCAAACGATAGATTCTATCACACGTGCGCGGTAATCTTTACGAAATTTAAAAAGTTAAGTCGTTTATCACGTAGAATTACTATAATCGGAGAGTGTAATACGATAAAAGCAAGGTGACACGATAAACTCTCTTTTTATCCGGATTGTCGGAACGATCTTTGCACTCGGCTCGATCGGATCGACCGACAGACCGCGAGATCCAAATGGACTGCGTGTAATGTCCCCGTACTTCCGGATCCTCTCGTCAGAACAAGTCCCCCGAATCTACAGAATGCGCGAAACGATACTACACCGCTCCCCTTTCAGGGTGAACTAAGAGTACCGGCCGACCGAGTATTCTCGCCGCGACGTCTTTTGCATGCGAATACTCCACGTGGTTCATCCGGCGACACGCATTGCGCAGATCCGACCTCCCGCGATCCCCACCTTTATGCGAATCACACCTTTTACCATACCGTAACAGATTCGCGTGCGAGCTCCCGCCGAGTGCGTTGACTGCTATACTTAACACCTTGAAGTTTCCGACAAACTTTGTGATTTAAGACGTTCCGACGTACTTACCTTTGTGATTTTTTTACCTTACACGTATGACCCTAAAGATATTAACCGATGAAATTTGTTTTACAAAACCGCGAATTTATATTCACATCCATATTTATTGAATGTTCTAAATATAAAACGAAAATCCTATTCTTAATTCAAACGCTACTACATACTTTTGAATAATGCATGAAAGAATGTTCAGACAAAGAATGTGAGATATAAAATCATTAAAACTTGCAGAAAATTAATTTTAATATAGCGTGCCTTTAAATATCATCAATATTATATTTTGCTACTTAAGCTTAAGTACAAGTTATATCATATAATAAATATACATATACATAGTTTATATATTATACATAATTTTTTACAAAAAGAAGACAAAGATGTAAATACAATATATTTAAAAAATAACAAAAACAATGTATGTGTGTGTGTACTCTCTTAAAATACTAAATTTGTTAATCCAATATGAGAGATATTATTTATTCATTCGTACAAAAATCACAAAATTAGAAAACTTATTTAAAAAAAAAGGGCTATGTATTCTATTTAACAGTATTAAGACTCTCTCTCTCTCTCTCTCTCTCTCTCTCCTCCGTAATGGTTAACATTGACATTTCAGCGGCAGCCACGGCAAAGTCGATCCGCTTGAGACTCGAGAAAGAGACCGGCGACGAATCGGATGGACGTTTCAGGACGTCGAGGGGAGGTTGCGCGGGTAGATTTTCAGGGACTGGCGATGATATTTGTCTTGTTTACGGGAAGACTTATGCGCGTGTGCGGACCGCCGAAGTTCGCCGCTCGATCAATAGGCCTCTACTGAAATCACACGTAAACGGGACCCGCGTGTATCCCGCACACGCCCACGCGGTACGCACGTACACCCACCGCGTACACGGACACGCGTGCTTGCTCGAGCACCGGTCCAATCCACGCGAAAAGTTCGCGCGAGCTTTTCTTTCGACTTTTTGCGAAAGGAGCCACAAGGCTTTCATAATTCACTGTCCATACCCACTATTGATTCTGTTCTTTTTCTCTCTGTCTCTCTTGCTTTCTTTTTCTTGCTCTCTATCTGGATCCGTTTGATGTCCCTGGGCTTTTATTGCTTCACCTTAGGTTCGATTGATTTCCCGTCTCTCGCTTACTTTCGCCGACCTGCTTTTGCGCTTGTTTTAATCAGACTCTATATTATACAAGTGTCATCGGACAATTATTTGATGAATTGTGCGAGCCAATTATTTTCTTTAGAAATGGTACAAATCAAATTCTGGAAGATATATTGATTTGGAAGATAAAATAGATTATTATTTTTAGAATTATTTAATTAGAATTCTATTTAATAATGTCGTGAGTCAGAAAGTGACTGCTGACATTTGATTCTCGCAATTCAATCAGCAGCGAATACCGTAAAAGAAATGTGTCTATCAATATATAAGTTTATAGTCGTTAAATTTTATACGTAGTTAAAAAATGGAACGATCAATGCCAGGCTGATACACAGTTGTAGTAACATGTCTCGATTTAAAAGATTCTTTAGCCATTTTATTTCAATGCAACTCAGCAACGCGACCGACGCCGACGTGTCGTTTCTCGCCCGAACTGCGTCAAGCCATTTCGTACTTTATTAGAATTATTGAACCGCTGATGAATTTTATCGTCATCGGTCAGGCTGCAACGAGAGCTCCGCACGAAAATACCCTTGACGTGCGTTCATCCATTATTTCGCGGGGGTGCAACGTTGTTTGTCGTTGCACCCACGCGCTCGTGCATGCCACCCACACAAGTCAAAGAAAATCTGGCGAACGCGGTGTACGCGTAATAATAATACAGTAAGTCTTGTTCTATCTCATTGTCAGTGCGCTCTCTCTCACTCTCTCTTTTTGCGCCTCTGACGACGTGTTTTTCGCCGACATCCTTTCGCGAACGGCGAACTACCCCATCGAGTCGGATCACCGCCCCTCTCTATCATTCATCCAATTTCGGCGGTGAGTTTTCACAATGTCGGAGCTTTCTGCCCTCGCGCGAACATACGGGCGTATTTACGCGTATTTTTAGAAAATCTGTCAAAGGTTGCGTAGAGAAATACGCGGGTTCCGCGGAACCCTCGCTGTCTGCCCCGTTCACTACCTCTACCTATCTCTCACTCTGACGTGCGTCAGCGATTGCTTTACAACCCTCACATAATCCAATTTCCGTCACACACGCGCACATGCACCAACTGCGAATAATAGCCGCTGTTCTTTTCAGACAAACCGAAAGTAAAAACAACTCCGCGGGGCGATTGTTGTGTAGATCGTTGCCGTTACATTTTAAATACTTGAGAGTGTATCTCCTAAAGGAGATGAATTTTATAGTATAATTGCCAGAACTAATAAATAGTTAGTTTTATATATCAATATATATATGTATAAATAAGTACATTTATATATAATAAAATTATATTAAAAGAGAGAGAACATATAATAGAATGAACTGATAAAGGATGGCTATGAGAGTTAGACGCAGTTATCGGTGTGTAAAAGATCCAATTCACTGATTTATTCACAGTGTAGGGTAGACCGGGGCACGTTGTCACACATTTTTTTAAATATTTTTTGTATTTTTTACATTCAATATTTAAGAGTACTTTGATATGCCAAAATTTCGAGTGAACCCTCAGCTTCAATTGGACAGTATCGAATTTTGTGTGATTGTTACTCTACAGTTGTTACATAACAATAAATAACGACAAGTCGCTTGTGACAACGTGCACCGTGACCGGGGCACGTTGTCACATCAAATGTAATTGCATGCAAAATGTAATCCAAACTGTATACAACGTAAATATCAATATATTATAGTGCGCTGCAATGTAAAAAAGTAAAATCCTTCACAGAAACATTTATTTTATTTCAAAAAAGTACAAAAAGCACGAAGTTTTCGTCTTAATCTAAATAGGCAAGAATTCCACTCGAATGCGCAACTTATTGATAAACATTTTTTCTTTTATAATCATGTCGGTGATTAAACATAAAATATTTTTATTCGTTATCGTCATCCGAAGATTCGGAATAGATTCCCATCAAATTTGTGACAACGTGCCCCGAGGGCATTTTTTTACTTCAAACAGCCTCATGTCCGACACGTTTGAGATATTCGTAAGGTTAGGTACTGCACGCGGTAGGTAAAAGTACATACTTTAAGATAAAATAAAGGTCTATTCTGAAAAAACATAAGCTTCATGTCCAGTACGTTGAATATTAGACAATAAAATTTTACTTACGGTCGCAAAAAACTTTCAAGTTGATTTTACGTCAACACGGCTGGCGCAATCTCAAGACTGTAAACACACCAAAGATGAGCATACACTAACACGTTTTGGGAATGACGGGTGCTGCCCTTCGGTTATTAGTTTTTTAAATAAAGCCAAAGTGACAACGTGCCCCACGTGACAACGTGCCCCGGTCTACCCTATATAATCGAACGTTTCGGCTCGGGATTGAGCCATCTTCAGCGAAATATACAAAAATTAATTAGTGATTGCTCCCCTTCTCCATTCTTACTCAGTGAGTTTTAAAATTGGAAGATCCAAAAACGACATTGACTATCGAATTGATGTCTGTAAAATTGTTAACTGTAATTCAAGTCGTTTTAAATGATATTGTACAACTCACCCGATAGCCAGGAGAACGAAACCATTACAAAGTCATAAAGAGTTGTCATCCGAAAAGATACAATACATCAATACAATAAATCAGTGAATTAGATCTTTTACGCACCGATAACTGCGTCTGACTCTCATAGCCATCCTTTATCAGTTTATTTAATTTCGAGAGTCCAATATTCATTTGTTGATTATAATAGAATGCTTAATATATTTTTGGAACACAGTGAACTAGAAGATTTGTGTGAAAGTAATTTATACTGATATTAAAAATACAAAAACAGATTTTAACTGTATATAAAATTACAAGTTTAGGCAGTAAATGATGTTATTTCAAAAATTTTTATTAGAATTATATATATATGAGATAAGAAATATAATTATATAATTTTAATTTTTCACAAACATTTTACCTATGCTAGCTTCGGTTGTTAATAGGCCTAACAATTGCTCAAGTTATTATTAAAATCGTTCTCGAACAACCTGTCAAAACAGCTAAGAATGTATCGTCGGTTTATAACACGTCTCTCATCCGGCATCAATAAGCAATTTCTCTTACATACAAATTGTAAGATGATACACCGATAAAAATAGAACTGAAAAGAATACGCTTTTGCTTTCATATCTTTGTGTGTCATCGAAAAAACATTTCTGTTTCAATAAACGATTTAAAAAAATCGAAAGAATGCGATCAGCTTTATCTCTCTTCATCTATTATCACGATAAACTTTTTCTACAGATTTTTAATAATACTAAGATGTGATAAAACGCATGTTATATATAGTACCATGGTACTATATTATTAGCACAAATCTTTATCAAAACATAAAAAACTTTGTATTTATCTGATATACCGAACAGTATTGAAATTTTTCACCGATAAATCTTTTATTACAAAACGTCTTCACAAACTTCGTAATCTTTACTCGTTTAATTTAGCAAAGTTTAATATCTTCTGATAAAAGATAACTCATCTATTTTATGACGTCTAGACACGAAGTGTTATTCAATTAAATGTTAGATATTATAAAGTGTCGCGAGAAAAATTGCGCGTAGCTAAATTCTCAGAAAAATAAATTTCAATTTTCTATAAAAAAATGTACAGTATATAAAACCCTCGTATAATAATAGATACCCTATATATTTTAATAACTTTATAACCAGTACTAATACTAATTGATCAATTTAATTGGAATTTAATATTCAATTTAATAAATGTAATTATATTACATTTTCCAATTTTGTCATAAAACTACGTTTTAAGACACAATAACAATCAACGCGTGGTTCAAAAACATAAAGGTGGCACGTATAAAATTCGTAAACATTATTATTAAGCATAAGATTCCGCTCGAAAATATTAATATTTACTTATTTTGTTGCATACATATCACGATATAAATCTTGTTTAATATTCATCAATGTCGCACACAAAATGAAGACGGTGCAATGTTGAATTTTCCTTAAAATATTATTTCTACACGAACATGTTATTGTTGCCGCGCTCAGATAAATCCGGAAATCATCAACCCGCAGAATGCAGCAGAATGCGGGGATGACGGAGCGGGGTGGGGAGATTTGTATCGCGGTCTCCGAAGGTGGTAGGGACGTGGAAACGGCGTGACAGACCCTTCGTAGGACACCGTGCCTATACCTATAACAGTAACGTGGCAGAATCCAAAGCTGCCGAGGGCCGCGGAGATCAAGGCACGCGAATACCTTAGCTCTCGATTAAAACGTTTCAACACTGTCATTTGCATTTCCCTCCGATTCCCTCTCGTGCAATCGCGTCTTAACGTTATCTTGCCGTCAGTTCCGCCACCACGGACTTCGCATCTCTCCGCGGATTTCTTCGATCCGACAAAGATCGATATCGAATGAGGAAGTTTCGAGCGACGACCTCGATTTTCTCGTTCTCGCGAAAGGGAGGGCACGGCGACGACGCGAAAATGGAAATATCCCCGCCGGAGAGGGTGAGGCTGACCAACGACGTTCAAGGTCCACGCAGTTCACTCACCCTCGGTAACGCCACGTGCCAATAACGCGGCGATCTCAGCCAAAAGACGAGGCGATTGCTCTGTCGCGGACTGTGCTCTGTTTCGAGTTTTGCAAAGTGTCGCGAAGTTTTCGTAATCGCGAGAGATGCGTGACGAGGCTGCGCGTGACTCACGACGACGACGACGTGCGGTTCTCGTGGTGTCACGTTTCGATGCGGACGCGATCTCCACGGTTTATCGGTCATGAAACGAAGACGTTTGAAGCACGAGGACCTGTGTATCCCGCGGGTGAGGATTTTACAAAGTGTTGATTGCACTAATCTTCAACCTCCGTCTGTATACGTGGGTCTACGGCGTCCGAGCCAAAATGATATCGGCTTGTAACTGTAAAACTTGCAAGCCTGTCAGAAAATGTTAAACAATGTTTATCAAAATGATTATAAAATCGTCAACTACAACAAACCAAATGTTTCATAAATTTTTTCAAATTTTTTAAAGTACTTTAAGGTAGAGAAAAATAGCGTCAAATGTGACAGACTCACGTATACGCTCCGAGGGTGAAAAATAAACGTATATAGACGGGTTAACATTCCACGCAGCTTCGGGTGTTAAAAACGAAGATTATGCGAGCAATTCTCGCGCGAACATTCACAGATATTTAAGAACATTTCATCAATGAGTTTTAATTAATATAATTATTCTAATACATATTAATTTCTATTTTTAATATTTATTATAAGTATTAAATTTCTTAATACGTAATATTAATTAGTCCAAATCTTATCACTTCCAGACTGTAATAGTTAACTAAATAAAATTAAATCATCCTTACAACGAGCGAGTAAAATGCGAAGCGTTAGATCGCAAGAAATATAGTCGACAAACTTTTCCCACAATTTTCTTTCCCTTCGCGACACTGGATAACAGGGAACCTAAGTATAAAAATCATTGTGTTGAAATGTTTTCGAACTTGTGCACGCACAGCTCACGCGATCTTTCTCACGCGTGTATCACGCACGGCCGGACACACAATGGCAGAATATCGTTCAGGGTTCACTGACCGTGTATATCGTCCACTTACATTACATTCGCGATACAAGGCTGTCATCCTGAATTAGTAATTACGCCGCGCTTTCTGAAATGCATATTCGTACTATCTTCCGAATTCCCTGAATACGTAGGGTGGACGTATAATATGAGTCATGGGAGGGTGTCCACCCTGCTCTCCCTCCCCCCGCCTCGCCTGTCCGATATCCCGCGTCTCCCTTTTTCGAGACCGCATGTCCGTCGCGCGCGAGCGAGGGTGTCTCGTTCACCGTGTCTCGTTCGTCAAGTTTCGCGTGCGTCTTCCTGCAGCACGAAGTGCTCGTTAGCCGACCCCAACTTTCCCTTTTCCCTGCCCCTCAGATCGGTCGAGCGAAATCATTATGATCTGCCTCGAATTAATGTCGCCTTCGACGAGCATTCGCGATTTTCCGCGCTCGCGAGACAACATATTTGGAATTTATATTATATCGTGCCACGATGTTCTTGTATGACATTCTTGAAATTGGACACTAGCTATTCTATTAAAAGAGGTAATGATAGACATCTAAATAGATAGATATCTAAATCAAGGGCTATAATAGCAAACTTTTTTTACAAAAGCATTTTGGGCTTTACAAAGTTCAAGGGGATATTATAAAAATATAATAAAATTTTCGACAAATTTTTTATTAACAAACTTTAGAATATAATAACAATTATGCGAGTTACAGTTTGTCTATTCCTGCTATATAATTATGCATATCTAAATGCGAATTTATCAATCCAATTGTTGAGGAAAGTGCAAAATTAAATTACATGGAGAACTGTATTATGACTTTTTTTTCACGAAAACATTATCAAATGGCAGATCGTTTCTTTTTTTTTGTAATTTTTTAAACGCGAGACATTTGTCTGTTCCTTGCTAGACGGGCAACATCTGAGGAAGAGCAGCGGGGTGCGTGAGATCCATCAAGATGTCGTCGAGCGTGACATCGTTGCACGAGGCCACGGCGGCGACGGCGGAGGCAACGGAGCTGGACAGCGACGGTTCGAGCTGCGGCGAACGCGACGTCTGGAAGCGCGTTCGCGGCGATCCCGCCGACGCCGGGCCCAAGAAGCGTCGGAAGCAGACCACGCCGGTAAGAGTCTCGTCCGGCCTCGCGGGCGTGCACGAGGATGCGCGCGAGGACGAACGCAGGGACGAGGACGTCGAAGGTAAGCCGTCGTCGCGATCGCCGTTGCTGAGCAACGATCACCACCACCAACAACACCACCACCACCATCACCACCACCACCACCATCACCACTCGCCGTCGTCGAAAGACGAGAATCTGAACAACGAGTTTCGCTGCCAGCACTGCGGCCGGCTCTTCGACAGCGACGAGACGCTCAATGTCCACGTGGACGGCGAGCACGGTGGCGGCGCGAGTCAGGTGACGCCGGCTGTCGCCATCAAGGTAGAGCCGGCGCAGCAGCTGGACCCGACTAACGAGGGTCCCGTTAGTCTCTTAAGCGTTAAGAACTTCGCGACCACGTGGCTGGCGCCCGGCAGCCAGCAGCACGTGCAGTCGCAGACGCAGATGCAGTCGCAGAGCGACGAATCGTGGTCGGGCGGCCCGGTAAATCAGATCGTCACGATGACCAATCACTTACAGGCGCTCTCGAGTTTCCCGGGTGCCCTCGCGCAGTATCTACCCCTGCCAAGTTTTCCCTTGACCGATCCTCAGCTCCCCAGATCCTCCCTCGGTCCTGTGCCGGTCAAGATTTTCAATCCGGACGCGTATTGCGACATGTGCAACAAGGAGTTTTGCAACAAGTACTTCCTGAAGACGCACAAGGCCAACAAGCATGGGATCTACGTCGACTCGCCGACGCCAACCGTGGCTCTAGATTCCGCCAATGTCGTCGTTGCCAGCGGCGTGTTCGGCGCCGCGAACTTCCCCGCGGGTAATGCGAGTGTGAAACTGGAGCCGCCGGCGACTCCGCCGCAGAAGCGTTTCCGCAACGAGGATCCCGCGAGAAAGCACAAGCTGAAAACGCACAATGAGTCGCCGACAGATCAGCAGACGGACAACCAGCAGATCTCTGTGTCGCAGAACGAGGAGGACCAAGTGACGCCGCGCGACAGTCCCGGCGGCATGGAAGCGCTTATGAAGCAGGAATATGGCGTTGAACAGGAAGATGCGACCTTCATGCCGGCCCCGAGACACCTCTCGCCCCAGTCCATCCAGCAAGCACGCGATTCCGGTTTCAGCGTCGATCTTCTGCGTCATCTGGGCGTCATAAATCCGGAAGCGTTCTGCGAGATCTGCTGCAAGGAGTACTGCAACAAGTATTTTCTGCGCACGCATAAAATGAAACGGCACGGCATCGTCGTGCAGGACAACGAGAAATCGCCCGGCAATCCCGGCACGGCCGTCGCCACTTGGCACCAGGTGCAGACCAGTCCGCTGAACTTGATCGTGTCGGAAGCTGCCGCGACGGGTGCGGAGTCCAACGACCGCAGCGTCGAGGAGCACGAGTGCAAACCTTGCGACATTCGTTTCCAGACGATCGGTCTGTATCAGGCGCACTGCAGGAAGATGCACGAGACCGAGGAACGCGGTTCGCCGAAGCAGGAATACGATCTGGACGGCTCCGATCAGCGTACCGAATCGATCTCGGAGGATCTTCAGAAGCTGCAGACTATGATCATGCAGCTGAACGGTCTGGATTCCGGTAAGGGATTATCCTGCGCCGTGTGCGGCAGGGAATGTGACTCGAGGTCGGCTCTGCGCGTTCACATGGCGACCGAACACGGTGTCACCGGTGACGAAGCCTCGTCGCCGCCGCAGAAGTCGCCCACGGTAATTTCAACTATTTTCTGCACTCTCTGCGAGAAGGATTATCCTAGCCAAGACGCACTGAGGAGACACATTAGCGAGGAACATCAACCTATTGTGTCCAGCGCTATCACTCTGCCGACACTGCCGCCAACGGTAATCGCCTCTTCCGCCAGTTCGACGCCGACCAGTCAGACTCCGAGCGGCCAAACGACGATAATGACGACGACGACGACGACGACGACGACGACGATGACGACGACGGAGAGGAAGGTGACGTCGCTCACCCCCACGTCGAGTTACTGTGAGATCTGCAACAAGGAGCTGTGTAACAAATATTTCATGAAGACGCACATGCAACGGATGCACGGCATCGAGATCGAGAATGGCGCGCAGATCGGCGGCGTCATCTGCAACATCTGCAACAAGGAGCTGTGCAGCAAGTACTTCCTGCGGGTTCACAAGCACAATACTCACGGGATCGTCGACGAGAACACGTCGTCGGGATCGACGTCGAACAAGCAGGAGACCTTTGACGCTCCCAGCGCCGAAGATCCGACACTGAAACCGGAGCAACTGAGCGATCTCAGTCACAGATACTTCACCCACTTCACCGAGGTATGTCCGATCTGCAGTCGAAGGTTCCGCAGCATCAAGTGGCTGAAGGCTCACTTGATGAGCGACCACGGAAAAGCAGGGGTCGACAAATGGCACGAATTGGAGCAGCAGTATCAAGCGACGTCCAGAACCAGCGGTAGAAGCGTCGCTTCAGCGAAGAACACGCAGCCAACGTCGAATCTGAAGATTCCCAATGGTTTCGAGGTCGCCCAACAGGCCAAGCCTGTCGATTACACGAGTCTGGGAAATCAGATGCTGTCGAATCTCCTCGGCTCCTCGTCCGAGGAACCTCAACTGAAGAACTATCGCTGCGGCTACTGTAACTTTACGACCCCCGTGCTACCCTTTCTCTTTCTTCACGAGCGGTCCCACGTGAGCTCTCAGGAAAATCTCGAGGGGGATCGTGCGCTGCAATGCCCGATCTGCTCGCACGACTTCCATCAGCCGGAGCTGCTTCATCAGCATCTGCTCGCCAAGCATCAGTTCCCCTCTCTGTTGTCGCAATTCCAGCATCCTCTAGTGAATAATTTCAGATCGGACATCGACGTCAAAACAAGCGACGTCAAGGACAGAGCTGATCAGGATTCGAAAAACGACCGCGTGGGATGCAGTCCGCAAACCGATCGGAGCGTGTCCGAGCCCGCGAGAAATGCGTCTTGCCCGCGGCAGGACGAAACCGCGGTGCAGGTGACGCCTCAGGGTGTGTACAAGTGCGCCCAGTGCGGCTACGCGACGACGAATCTGAATCGCATTAAGAAACACGTGCGGAAGGATCACAAGGCGATAGGCGATCCGACGGAGAGCGTGATCGCCGAGCTCAGCAAGACCCTGAAGGACGTGGCGAACAAGCAGAAGATGCCGGCCTGTTACGCGATGCCGCAGGACACGAACCCCGACAAGACCATCATGCAGCCGTTCCTGATCGAGGAGCAGGATCTGATGCAGGTGGGCGCCGAGTCGAGCTCGGCGAAGAGATTCGCGCCGGCTCTAGTCTACTTGCCGGTCAAGTCCAGAATCGGCAACGCTCTGACCGCCTCCTTCACTCTCACCCCCGCCTGAATTTAGATCGCGATCGCCTTACATCGCACGTCTTAAAAGAGTACGGGCGGCAGCATCTGCATCTGCGACCTGAGCACGTGGTATCGGTTCCTATTTATCGTGTAAGACGGCAAGTTTTATTTTACACTATAATAACTTTGACGTTCCATTAATTTTTACATATCTTTAGCGACTATTGCAGGCTTTCCTATATTATCCGATTAGTGAATCCCTCTGATTCCATGCTGCGAATTTATGGAGAACGAACCTAAAAATAGACGATACCCAGACGAGATTATTCTTCTCCTTCGAAGCTAATTTTGCATCGTGCAAAAAATAATTCTGAAGCCATTCAACGTCTGAGAAGATGGTCACTATAAATAGGAAAAAGTTTTTGAATTATCTTCTTAGACATTAATCAGTTCAAAATCCATCTTTCACTGTGCAATGTTATCTTTGTAAGAAGATAATCCCGTCTGACGGTATTTCGTTCCAAAACGCGCCGTTGCGACGCGAGATTGCTCGTTTTTTTTTTTCGCAACACGTCAACTCGAAATACAGGGAGATCGTCCTGAAGCAACAAGGAGTAGGACACATTTACACGTATTTTATTTCGAAATGGTTCTCGAGGGCGACGAATTTAGCAGACCGAAACGATCTCTTTTCGGAAAGGAAAAACCTTCCAGAAAAATAACGAGACGAGATTGTTATTATTGTTCTAAGTATAGGGAACATACTCGTTATATAATTCTTGTAAATATTTAAGTGTAACTAATTAAAACACGAACGGGTGATTGACAAAGTTCCTATTTTAAACGCGACAGGCTCCTCGACATCGGGAGGCCTACATTCTCTTCGCTCCGCATTTCATTTCGTCCGTTTTCTCTTGCTTTAGCATATCGGTTTTGCTTCTGCTCAAGTGAACTAAAAAAAGAAAAAAGAAATTCGCGCGGAAGATCGAGCGCGATCGATCGATTGGCATTAAAACCATTCATCGTCTTTTATCAACTTTCCTTTTCGCGACTGTTCTAGTCAATATTTTATATATAAATATATATATTTAATTACGTGAGTAAGAAGAGAGTTTTCTCAGAGATAGGGAAGATTTAGAGAGGTATTTATCATACACACGTAGAATACGCTAGACTCCGAGAAAGCATCGGACGGCGCTAATTAGGCGCGACCGCTAATTACGGGTCGCGACGCGTACAGCCGCGTGGGCGAGAGCGCGATACAATGGTAACGGAGGTATTGGGGTATCAAATGTGCAGAGAGAATCGCCAACCAACTCAGGGGTGGACACAGTATAACCCGCAACAAAGAGTACAATCGTATACACAGCCAACGCATTACATAGACTTTAAATAACTTTTAACTTATAATGACGAGATGTAGCGCGCGTCTCTCGTAAATGTTCCGCGGAATATATCAATATAACGATCGGCCCCCCGTCCGACCCCGCCTTGGGCGAGGGGGTCGTGAAACGACCAAGCTCGATCCACTCGAATATTCGACGAACGGCCCCCGATTTATATATGTATGAGCTACATACGAGAGCTATGTAGCGCACTCGGATTATTTTAACTAAAAGTTGCCTAGTCTAGTCGGTAAACGCCACGGACGGTCGAGTCCGAGATTAAAAGTTCCTCCTTGAAAGCTGTTTCGAACCTCGTGCCTTTGCAGCTTGAGAAACCGCGTTACCCGCCAACTTCCTCGTTGTCACGCAGGTCTCGATAAGATATATCCGAATGTGACGGGCCAATCTGTTACGATTATAATAAATGTGGTTTCTGTCAGGTGTACTCTCTCTCTCTCTCTCTCTCTCTCTTTCTCTCTCTCGATCGTGTCGTAACCGATCTCCTCCCCTCGTAACAACGCGATTGCGAGACTTTTCCTTGAAAATAAGTTGCGGATAACTGCGGAATTGTTTCACGGAAATGTCCCATAAATACTTATCTCGAAATCCATTAGGAATACAAGCGGTTTATGACGCGCAATATACATTTTAATGATTTCCGCAAAAACGATTTTAGATTATCGTCTGTTTCTAAAAATAGCCGAAGAGAATAGAAACGATTGGAATATTCAAATGTTCACGTAGAGACTATTATTGTTTCTGCGATCGTGTGTGTGGAAAATCCGTAAAGATCCTCATTAGGTTGGTGTCGCGAAAAAGTTTCGGCGATTTCTTCGTCAGCGCTCGAATACAATTGAAATGCTCGAAAGGGCAGCTGTTGCCCGCAATGACCACGTTCTCGATTGCTGGGCGTGCAGCCGTTCTGACCTGCCTAGCTTCCCAAACACGTTTTCTCGCAGCACACCGGTGTGCCTATCCCTCCACGATGAACAAACATGCACGATGCATTTCCGCCTACACGACGTCGCCCTTGCTCTATCGTAAAATAATAACTCTGCTTATTCAGCGCAATCATACTCTCTTTACTTACCGAGCAATATTTGGAGTGCAAATATTATTTCACCAAAAAATTATTTTAAAAATTTTAGCAGATTTTATCTTCTAATTAGATAATTAAAAAATCTCTTAAAACAAAAATAACATTAATATCATAGAGCAAAACGTAATGATGGAAAGGACAAAGCTTGTGAACAAGCTCAGGTTTAGATTAATTTACATATATCTTCGAAAACAACTGTATTTAGATGTTTTTAAAAATTGTACAGATACGAAGCTTTAATTTAAGTTTAATCAATAAATAATCGTGATAATTTGCAATTGCGTGCCGAAATTTTCAAAATTTAGTTTAAAGAGCAATATGGCGAGAAAATAAATTACGCTCCATAAAAGTGCTGTCGAGAGTGACGCGCTAGAGACGATAAATAACGCGATCGGCTAGACATATATCGGTTCCCGGTGAAATGCAACATTCGGTGCCCGTCGCGTTCCGGTAATGCGAATTCGCCGGACGGATGTCAGATACGGCAATGATTTATTCCGGGACAATTTCCATGGCACGAGCCATGGTTTTTGTCTCAGGGGCCATAAAAGTTTTTCCCCGCGCGCTCGCGCAGCTGAAATTCGAGAACCGCGTCATTTAACGGGGCATGGCACACACCGATGCCGGCCGTTGCCGAAAATTCATCTGAATTAGTATGCGCGCACGCGTGCATTAATATGACTTAGGGGAGGAGAGAGGAGAGATCGGCCATTACGCAGATCCATCGAGGGAGTAGAAATGAGAGAGAGAGAGAGAAAAAGAAAGATGGAAAAGGAAGAAATGGAAACGGTCGCTGGACAGAGGGAGAAGGAGCGATTTTCGATGGGGAAAAACGAATTTTTAGCTGGCATTGTCGTGCCGGCGAGATGGGCCCGGACAAACGGGCCTCCACCATCTGGCCTCCCCCTCTGGCGAGAAGGTCAGAGAGAGGAGGAAGGAGGTCGCGACCTTGGCGGGGATTTTTCCGAAAAAGTTCGAGAACGAAACTACCCGGGATGGAAAGAGGGGGAGGGGGACACGGTATCCCATCCCCCCTACTCCCGCTTTACCCTCGACTTCGCCTATTTTTCCTGCCCCACGTGCGCGACGCGCGCGGTGACACGCGAAACGCGCACGTCCATGCAAAACGGCTCTACCTCGACCCCGCTCTTAATTGTGTCCCATGCAGATACGCGTATTGTGCACTTAATGGCCCGTGCGCGACGCGTTACCATCGCGCCGGGGATGTCGATTTAATTATTATCGCGAGGAGAGAAGAGGGCACGCGCGCCGAGGGGTGGATGACAAAAATCCGGGCGACGTCGGGGAAGCCGTGGTTTTTTCGCGCTCGTCGCTGCAACAATTTCCGGATAACAGCAAGCGATCGTATACGAATTAAATTCTTTGGTGTTTCGGTGCAAGAGGCACAACGGTTACCAGATGAAAAATATGAGAAAAGATATTTATAACAGATCGAGATATTATTGAATGTCAAAGCAATCTACGGCGACGATGACGATTATTAGACAAATATTATACTTTCATCAATACTGTTTACAATAAATTTGATATTTTTAATTTAAAAAAAAATTACCACGCGCCATTAAATTCTCTCGAATGAAAATGTGTCTGCCCCTTCTCCCTCTTTATCGAGCACCAAAGATTTATTCAAAACTATTATTCTTTGTTACGGGAAAGTGAAAAATAGCATCATTTGCATCGATATTGGTGTCCAATTAAATATTTTGTTTTCTACCTACAGTATATTTATATATAATTTGGCGGAGTTACAGACGATCGCTAATTGTAATCAGTTAATCACGAATGTCGACGTATGTCGAAGCCGCGGAGCAAGAAGAGATTATAACGAAGTTCCGAGAGAATCTCAACGGCTCGCATGCCCAAAATCAGCATTGCCTTCGTAACGTAATTGAGCGCAAAATCAAAATTTACCCATAAACCAAACAAAAATATGCAAAGTATATATTATATATATATTGTTCATTGATATATATATTATTAATTATATTAAGAAGGTCGTAAGCTAAGTGCATTTCATATGTGAACGATGCGAACGTGAATTACGTATACCTATGTGTACACCGTGTAATCCGTGTATAATAACAACGGGAGCGTACGGAAAGTACCGCATTCGACAAGTGCATACGGTATAGAGTGTATATTTCGTGAAATTAGGGGAATTAATTAGCATGTCTAGTCATTTTGGAAGCGATTTACAAATTCCTATACCTGATCTAGTCACACGATGTAATCAAAGCGACGTATTTCGATTACCAGCGCAATCGATTTTGTCGTTAGACCAATCGCATATATTTTTTTTTTATGTAAGACTGCGTGAAACGACGAGAGACACATTATTTTTGTTATTTTATATTTTTTTACGTACACGCCTGAGTTCCTGCAATTATTTAATTATTTATATACGTGTGATCGAAAGAAATTTATATTATATATATAGATAAATAAAAAATTATTTTTCTCTTTCTTTCATTTTTGTTGCCTTTCTTTTTTTTTACGCCCTCCTTGCAATTACACGCTATATACTTTCGATCGATCCGCACAATTTTTATGTTTTTAATTTTAGCAATTATTGCGCTACGGCAAATGGGGAAGAATGTATTTTACGTTAACAACGGTGTTCGCGTCGATGCCAATAAATACAGAGAGATTGCTCTCTCGTGTCTCTATCGAAGCATCGAAATTCGAACTCACCGGAATTACACCGGCTTCGAACGCTCGTTTTAAGATATCGAATTACCCGATCCAGAGTTTGATGGGCGGCTGTTAGACTGCCGCCAACTCGTCGGTTTTGTTTTTTAAGGGTGTTGCTCCTGGGGTGCCTTTTTACCACTGGTGACAAATGATATCTCAAACAAGTTAAATTTGACAAATTATAGACGCGTGCCTCCCTCGGGGTTCGTTTTCTCATTTCATTTCTTTGCTCATTTGAAAATGGAAGTTTCACTAAACAATGGAAAAAAAGGAGCATTCGTTGAATGTAAGTTTTCTGGATTATTTTACACGGGGTGAAACAGGAAATTAAGATAACACCATGTTTGTCAGTTATTGGTTTTATGTCATGTTGAGCATTTTTAGTAATGCAATAACTCAGTGAGTTTTTACTGTTGTGGAACACATTTAAAACACTTAAAGAATATACATATATACCATTAAGAAAAATTTCAACGTATACGATACTTGAAAAAATAAATTATATTTCTGATAACAAAGTCAAGAGCGTCGCCAATTTTAAATGCTTATCCTATAATTCTATAGCACATGAGTCATGCCTTATTATGAATCATTTTGTGTAAAAAAGAACAGAAGAATATAATTTCAACGACTGCATACTGAGAATTTTATCATCTACAATCAACGACAAATAACGCCAGACATTATTTTCCGTTTCGACGGCAGAGCGCTATCGAACGGAAGGGAGAACGAAAGGAAAAGCGGGTACGACGGTTTTCAATCAGAAGGAACACACAAGTCGATGGGACACGAAGGCGCTTGCGCCATATAAGAGAAGTTTTCCTTTCGCTTGATGGCCGGTCGGGTCGGTTTGAAAAGGGAAGGCGGAAGGACTCGGTCGTCCTTTTCGCACCGAGCGACGACCGACCGATGAGTAAATGACACACAGCCCAGGCCCCCTGCTTCTCTCTACGTAAACACACAGACGTACGCGCGTGCACACGCTCGAAAAACGAATCCACCCACGTACGCACACGTCGACGTGTCCCTGGTGTGACGGGGATGTGTATAAAAATCAATAATATCTTACGGTTTCCAAGAGCCCCGAAAACGAAGGAGACCGTGGCGCGAGGGTGGCAGTCTTTGGTCGTGAAGACAAAAGATGGAGAGTATTTCGTTATCGTTCGTTATCGCGCGATAAAGAATCCGAGGCTGTTGACTTTTGTACCTGACGGATCTTGCTGGGTATTTTTTGGCGAAAAAAAATTCCGTTTTTAAAAATATATTTGCGAATTTTAAACGTGCGCGTTTTGTGTCAAAATATTCTTAATATAAAAGATATTAAGATTTAATTAAAGAGTATTGCTTTAAAATATCTCAGTTAATTAATTCAATTATTGTAACGATTTGTATTGTACACAAAATTTAAAAATACTTAAAGAAATGTTCAGTTAGATTTTAATATATCTATGCATTTGGATATTAATTCAAATTGAGTTCAAAACTAAGTAAGTTTTCATTAATAATTTTTTAACGCAAGATATCTGCTTCTCTAAAATTCAAGCCTTAGAACCTTGCAAGCAATTCTTCAGCTTACTTACGGCCGCCATTCCGTCTTTTAGCTCCCATATCGCGTCCCTACCCTCGCTGAATACAATAATCGTGATCGTTTTGTTTCCTCGTCATTTATTTATAAAAGGACCACCGGGCCAAGATCCATAGCAAATTTCAGAAAAAGGTATCGAACCATTCTCACCCCTCCATTTACCCAGTACGATATCCATCCTGCTTCCCCTGCTCATCAACTACCACAGCTTACATCCCGAGAAAGAAGTGGATTGCAATTATCAAAGCCTCCCCCTCTCAATTCCGCTCCTTCTCGGACTGACCGCTCCGCGATCTCGTCCCTCCGCGTTCACTTTCTTCCCCTATCGCCTTTCGCGCCAACTTGTAGAAATTTTATCCTCCAATAATAATTTCACCACCGCTGTTATAACCGTCGTCACCACCATCGCGACGGCGGCCACCCTCACCCGTATATCCGCATCCTTTTTCTCCGTCCTGAAACTTCTCAGCGGCCGTAATCGACATCTCCGACGATCAAATCTACGCAGCAAAATGCGGAGAATTTTCGTGAAAACACGATGGCACCGCGATTGAAGAAATAAACAATTGAGTTTATTTATTCCGGGAAAAAAAAATTGTTTTTATAATAAATTTCCATAAAACTTTGTCACTTTTATTTACCTGCGTAGAACTTATTCTGTTGCTCGGTTCTTAATTTAATTATTCTCGGCGATTAGTTCGCAATCTGTGGTATTTTTGCAACTGCGCAGTCATAATCAATCGAGAACGTACGGCGATAAATATTGAATCGCCTCAACGATGTCATTAAATTCAATGGACTATGAAATCTTAATCGCATAAACGAAAGAAATATCGCAAACAACCGACGACCCGAACGATATCGCTATCCTCGAGAGTAAATAACATCGTCACGAGCAATTATCGTGATCGATTTCATATCCAAAATCATTAACTGATTAGTTTTACAGCTAGGAAGACTAAAAAAAGTCAAGAGTCGTTTTTAGATGTTTCTGTTCTATAAACTGATACCATTGACGATGAAATAAAACAAATGTAGAAATGATTTAGAAGAAAGACGCAGAAAATCCGCGTTCGGATTTCAATTCTATCCGCCTTTAACTCCGAATTTATCGTCGAATGAATTTAACGCGACACATCGCGAACTCTGAACAATGAAAATATCGGGGATGCCGATATTTCGTAAGCGCTGTACTGCGACTTGTCGAACGAACCCTTCTGTATCATGCAAAAAAAAGCGCGAAAAAAAGAGCCAAAAACAGTTGTCCCGACATGGAGAAACCCTTTCACGGTTTTTCGGGCTCGCGCCGCGAGTTGCACGCCGCGTTTCCAGTCGGGTGATTCCACGGGGGAAGGGTGAGAGCGCAGAATCTCCGCGAAACGGGAATCGAAAACCGAGAATCGAAGGGTTGAAAACAGGAGCATTGTGCGGTCCGTACGTCTGGTGCGCACCCTCAGAGGCAGGGAGGCAAATGCCTCGCGCGCACAACAACCCTTTATTTATTTAGCGCCGCGTCCACGTGCCGGGTGCGCGCGTACGCGCTTTCCCCATTTCAACGGATTTCACCCCAAATTTTCAGCTGGCGCGCGCGTCCCCCTCCCCCTCCCGGCCGATTTACACAATATTTTGGAAATCCTTTATAAGATTTCGCTTCTATATCGCCCCATCTTGCACCGCCGTCGGCTTAGCGCGTGTATTCGCTATTGTTGGGCCTTTACAGCCCCTTTCGCAACGACGGACCACGCCAGATGGGTGAAGCGCGCGTCGATCATGAAGAACCGGCGCAAAAAAAAAAGTTTGTAAAACACCGCGAATTCGTGAAATTAGGGTTGAAGCGACGTGAGAGGAACATGGAAACATGGGAGAAGGGCGAACCCCTGCGCGACACGTGTCGCGCTCTTTTTCGCTCTTCTCTTTAAGGAGGGAAAGGTGATATAACGGCGAGAGTTGAACTTCGGGGGATTCGCGAAGAGTTGAAGTTTGTTTGAGATTTCATTGCGCGAATATGTACCTTTCGAAGTTCTGTTTCGTGTAAATTTTTCTATTCCGGAGATAAACCGAGATAAACTGAAGCCGATTCTTATTAATTAATTTGATTTAGCTTGTCATTAATGTTTTATCTTAGTGGAATGTATCTAAAATTGTTGATTACCATTAAAATTAATATTAATATAGTTTTACATATAACAGAAAAAAGACCTTTAGAAAAGAATTATCTCGTCTACGAATGAAAATAGATAAAATATAATGTTTCAATAATCAATTTTTTCTATCAACCTGAGCCAGATTTGATCTATAAGAAAAGGAACAATACATAAACAGTATCATTGAAATTACCAAGGAGCGATACCAAACGCGACATAAAGTTTATTTATTTGTTCTTTTTATAGACAGTTCCTTCTTTTGCGTGGTATTAGATAACAAACGCGATGCGTAATGCTTATTATCAACAATTAGTCGACAATAGTTAGTAGTCGGCCAATCCTATTTAACAGCTTGGAAAACTCGAATGTAGAATGTACAATTATATTATGATTTTCAACAAACTCGAGACAATAATGAATAATGACCCTGAAAACATAATTACAAACGCCAGTTATGCGCGGTACGCACACAGAATATACAAGACAATGAAAAGAAAATGTCTAATAAATTTTACGATGATATAATACTTAAATTTTAAGTTAAATATGAGTATTCGTTAAATTTAAATGCTGAGTATCCCCAAATCAGCTATTTCAGACGTCGATTTTTGTTTGTACAAAAAATCAATCGCAAGATATCAATTTATAAAGTAATAATGTCGTAGTAATTTTCCCCTACAAAGTTATATCATCGAAACGTATGAGAAAACAATTTGTTGAATCGTATCTCTTTTCCTGTGACGAGCGCCTCTGGAAATTTCCGAACCGCTATCCTCAACATCCCCGTATAAACGCTGATATTATATTGTAATAACAATAACGTCCCAATGACGCAACTACGGAATGCTAGTCCTCAGGAATCGCGTGGCTACCTCAGCAATGAATTTTTACAAATTTATCTTTACTCAGACATCTGCGGAGATGACGCGCGCGAAGCGCTCGCGTGAAGAAACGTCGCGATTATCGCGGCGTTTATCAAAGATGACCTTGCGCATCGACGACGACGACGACGATGAAGGTTCGCGTCGCGCGAAGAAAATTCAGTTCCTATTATATTGTAAACGGCTAGGTTCCTAAATTGAGCTTTATCGAGCGACACGTCAGGTTAGTCCGGTCGGAGTAGACTCGTTACGTCGAACAACGACGGCCCCGATAGAACTGGACCAACCCGTATCCTATTCGCGCGCGAACGTATCGATACACGTCATTTAATCGATGAGCAAAAAAAAAATGCCGAAACAATATCGTCGTTTTACATAACTGTTTCGTGTAAAAAGAAATTATTTTGTCGAGAAGATAAAAATCGTCCGAATATTTTATATTGTTGCAGAGCACACTTTGAATGAAGAATGAATAGTGAAGAATAGTTAAAAGATTTACAATGAGAAATATATACATACGTAAATCTTAAGGGGCTTCCCTAGTGTGACAGGGCCTAAAAATGAATGATTTTTAAAAGGAAAACGACAAAGCCATTTGATGAACAATTTTTTTCACATATTTTAGTATATTTCAAGAGTGCATACAAATTTTTTCAAAATTTTATATCTGTTATTAAAGCCCGTGCTAGCCATTTTTTTGGAGCGCCGCGAAAAAACGGTCATCACGATTGCAGCCGTTTGACTTTGTCGTTTTCCTTTTAAAAATCATTCATTTTTAAGCCCTGTTATACTAGGGAAGCCCCTTAATTTTATTTTTCTTATTCTTCTTAGAAGAATGTGTCATGTTTCTTTCAAAGATGATGCTCTTTTCGAAAATCTCTTCTTTTATATATTGCCCGTAAACACTCTTAGCGAAGAATAGTTAAAGTGTCTACAATTAGAAATACATGTATAAATCTTGATTAATATTTCGCGTATTTTTTTTAAGAAGAATGTGTTATTGTGTTTTTTCCAATTTTTCGAAAATTTCTTTTTTTTATTGCCCAACGCAAAACACACTGAGCGAAGAATGAAGAGTGAAGAATAGTTAAAATGTCTACAATTAAAATTATATATGTGTAAATTGTAATTTTATCTCTTGTACTCTTATAAAACAGGATGCGTCATGTTTATTTTAACTTTTCGAAAACCTCTTCCTTTCTTCTCTCGCTTATCAATTCAATGCAGACGTGATCGTACGTGTACGCAATGCGCGACGTTATTAAAATTAAGCATTACTTTAAGAGGGTGACGTAGAGTTAAGGCACGTAATACGTAACGCATGTACATGTACAATGTGTAAGTTTCGAGGATAATCAAAATTAGTGATTAAATCGACAGGGCGATACCGCAAGGAGAATTTTAGCCGGCAGGGCGGTAGGTACTTAAATTAATACGATCGTAAGCATCACAATTCAGGGTCCCCTATATAGTTACTCCTTTCCTTGACCGACAACGGGAATAGTATAATTAAACTTGTCTACTGGGTAAACAAAAAAAAAGTACAAGTGTGATGATATCGGATCGAAACACACACATATATACTTACAAGCGACGAATTATTATTAAATATTTACCGGAGTGTGTGAATTAGAATATGTACATAATAAACCGGCCGGGAAGAGTCACCGTAATTTTCTATGTTACTTTACAGGCTATAATTATTGCGAGGTGTATATGCAATGCGATATTACTGAAGTTATCGAAAATCGAAAGACTGTAATCCGCACGAAGCTCCGTGTGACGAGTTCATAATTTCCGCCTTATCTTTCGACCGTAGAGTATCCTTTGTATCCGATTATCAAAAAGCATAAATGTACATTGAAGTATGAATATTTAATATACAACTGCGCAAATGTGTGATGAACATGGCATAATCAAATCCGAACAGGTGTCATCGCGTTTCTCGCGACGATCCGCCGAACGCTGTCCTTTTTAGATTCTTTCAGACTTTCCATTCGCGATTTGAAACGTAAAACAGGTCAGGTATAATCACTCTTGTTCATTTCTATTCTAATGTCACTTAGGAAGGACGTCACTATTGTGCGTCTGTATCTTTGCGAAGGACGAAGTCGCATAATTAACGAGTCCTGTCGTACATTTTTGCCAAAGTTCTTCTCGAGGACGAATTTATTAAGTTTTTAAACACTCTGCCAACGTTTTAGATCGGTAAGACTCACGCAGATATATCGTACGTATTAGCTTTTGTACGTGACACGAGAGTTTTCGTAAACAAGACGATATCGATTCATTGCGCGGTAATCGCCACCCTCTCCCATCTTAAGTCTTAACGGTAATTTAGCGTGTAAGAACAGCAGCAAAAAAAAAACGAACGTTCCTATGATAATGCTTTCATCTACCGTATATATATTTAATAAGTATTTATGCGATAGTATAATTATAGCGTTTATACCGTATTCTCTATGACGTTTTCGTTTTCGTATTTTCAGGAAGTGACAAACGGTATTAGCTATACACGATAAGTTTAGTACGATCTTGTGAGATTAAGAATTATTGTGTATCTATATCTGTGAGATATATATATATATATATAGATATATTATATATAGATAAATATATAAATATATATAAAGAACTGAGAGTAATATAATGATGTGTGTATGATTAAATTAACTAGAATGAGAAACTATTGCGCGAGAGAGTGCACGCGTCTTCTGTAACTGATTTGTGTAAAAGATTGTATATCAATCACTCGCAACTTTAACTCGTATAGAAATACTATACATACCTAACATATATAATATTTTAATTAAAGAGCCAACTCGGTAAATATAGAAAGAAGGAGATAGAGACCAAGATATTTAATACGTAAATTTAATACGTAAAGTGGCGGCCGCTATACAATGATATTTCTTTTACACAAATTAGATATGTGATATGGACGAAGAGTGTGCTGTGCTCCGGTGTCAAAAAAAAAAGTATTTTTACCTGCGACCGAGAGATATTTTTGAAATTCACATACGATCGTGACGACGATTTTGTCATAGAGGTAATTTCTTTCGCGCGTGCATCTCTGCACCTTACCTTATATATTGTATATCTCTCTTTCGTGCATGACATTTTTTCGGGGGGAGGGGGGCGGCCCGTTGGCGTAATCGCCGACGCGCGACTGAGGGTACAAAGTGTGTGAGAGGGAAATGAAAGCGTGGGAGGAGGAGAAATCCAAAATCAAAATATTCAAAATCAAAATTACATTGTAAGTTCATAGAGATTGTTCGTCGGATAAATATTATTTGTTAGCCAAGAAGATAGTTGGACACGTCCAATAATATAGTCTAACAAATATTAAGCTCTCGTTGTTCTTTTATACCCCACCCTCCAATTACATATTTTTTACAAATAAGTTCAAGAGGAATCCTCGAGATATATTGTGGAGATATCGTATCTGAGAATCGTATGAGGAAATAAATGTAAAATAAAACGAGAAGGCAACTGCAAGAATACTGAATTTTAGAAAAATTGCGAGATGAATAGTAATGCTGTGGGTCTATTGTGTAGCTCTTAACGACAGTTTCGTTATCGTTATATTTGCGTTGCGCAGATATTATATATGGTAAAAAAGCTGCGTAACGACAATATAACGATAACGAAACTGTCGTTAAGAGTTACAGAATAGGCCCACAGGTCTATTTGCATAACGGGAGAATTCTATGTACAATAATAAATTGAGTTTTCAGCGAATGTTTCTGGACATACCGTTTCGTTATTATTTTCTTTTTTGTATTATAACTATTTGCTTAACCCAGATGATAATACTACGCAGGTAAACAGTTATCGAATAAATGGCACTTCTGCACATCAAAAGTAGGAGAGTGTATCGATAAAAATTGCGATAAATAACACGCCTGATAAAATCGACATTACAAGTGGCAGTGGTGAAAAAAGAGATTAATCGTCAAATCAGTTGCGTCATAATTACGATCAATCTTTAACCATATTGTATGGCTGATGATAAAAATCCGGTAATCTTTTTCTCTCCTATATCTATGTAACAAACGCGATTACATTTCTCATGTACCTTTCAAAATCTTTGATGCGACACGCGATAGAAAACAATTTCCTGTGTTTTACGTAATAAACTTGGAAACGTATTCGTAACTCCCTTTTACAGAAAATAGAGAAGTCGTAATATTTTTTTGCGAGAAAAATAAATTAAACAAAACTTTAATACAGAAACCGATAAATTTTCAAATATTTCATTAATTTTAGTAGAAATTGCAGAAAATCTGTGAGTCCTTTAACTATACATATATCGTTTAAATAATTATATAATATAAATAACATAATCAATATATGAAAATTTTAAAAATACTTTCTAAATAGAAGTAAAATTTTTATTTATGTATCTCACATATAAAAAACGTCTAAGCGACAATCAAAATTTCCTCGCGCGACTGGAACTTGCGGTAAAAAACATTTCATTCCCATAACGAAATTGGAGCCTTTCCTTTGCACATTTCAGGTCGCATTGCTTCAGTCCAGGAATCTTATCAATGGTACAATGACGCGTGAAAAATTCCGATCTTATGTGTCGAACTGCAAACCCCGCCGGATTGAAAACATTCTGGATACGTTGAATTCGCTCGTTACCGCACGCAAACAGAGAGGGAGATAGATAAATGTTTCTGCAAAATTACATTACGTACACGCGAGATGAGCGCGACAGACACAATGACGTTATACAACAAATAGTCGCAGAAAACAACGGCATCGTTATTATTATCTACGCACCGTAAAAAAATTATTGCGCGTGACATCGCAATAAGAAAAACGTATCTCCGACAACGGAGATACGGAGTTTTGTTCTAATCTTTTACCTATAATTGTAGAATAGACGCGTGACCACCTGTCGGATAGCTTTGTCCTGAGTCTTTGACCGCGGCTGTACATATTTCTGAAGTGTCGCGTTGCGTCGCGTATCCTCCTTGACGTCCGTCGCGTCGTGAGAAATCAAAGCTGCTTGTCCCTCTGGGAAAACGAGCGGAAATTAAACAGGGGGACACCGCGCGCGTGACGCTTAGTTCTGTATTTATATTCGTATATTTACGTTTATATTCGTCGAGCAACACCGTATCGTCAACTTTCATTATCGTCTTACATCGCGGTGAAATGAAACAATAAACGGCACACAAGACGCGCACACAATGCTCGCTTTAAGAATTTTATCGTGTAATTCTCCATGGTGTTCATTATCCAAATACGACCTATTATCTAGATCTAGAAGCAGCGGAATTTTGAGTGTCTGCAATAATTCCGAGATAAAATACAGGAATGTAGCACTATGTAATTTAACTGTGTATGATTATTTAGAAGAACATGAATATTACCAATTACCATGACCGAGTGACATACTTAAGATTAACAGAACACGTATTTCTCATTAATTAAATTAGAGTAATATTCAGATAATTAACGGTTCACTACTCTTGATGTTGTCGACGTTTATCGCCGTTGAAAATCTTTTATATCACTATTGCGAAAGTGTCGTACATATCGCGTTTTTCGTTTACGTAGCTTGCCACGCCGAATGCTAAACAGTGTAAACAAATTTTACAACTGCTTTATCGCACACTCTAGACGACGATAATTCCGGTGAATACCCCGGGCTCATTTTCCTTCGATAAATACGATTGTAAAGTGTCTCATAAGTCATGCGCACACGTGCGAATCATCGGCAGTGAAGTACGATTTCAGAAGACGTTGCAAAATGCGACTTTTCTTACGGCAAAAAATAGATTTGGGATTCAAAATCAATACGAGATATTTTCTCGTAATTTTCATCGAAGTCCCACCTGTCCCAAATGTCCACAAAATTTATTTTTGTTTATATTTACAGCTTTATTAATTTGAAAAGACTTTTAGTACTTCTCTCTTCGTCGAAGCCTAAAAAATATTATATAGTAATCAAAGTTTTAATACTAGAAACCCTAATAAAACTTGATAGACAAATCGTACTAGAATTTCCCATTTAATAATTATTTGAAAAAACTTCCCAGATTTTGTGAATTCAATAATTATTTTAAAAAATTTTCAAGATTTTGTGGAGTATATGTATATTAAAATTCATCAATCGCAAATTCGTGTATTTCTCGAAACGCGAAGCTTGATAATGTTCCGAATGACTCGGAAATTACGATAAACAGCTGAGCTCGCTCGCGGTTTATTATTATTTGCTCACGAATCAATCGGCTCTACAGCACCAGTAAGTGTAATGCCGTCGATCAATGATGACTGGTGATTCGCGCGTTTTGAGTCTCACGCTATCGTGTATTCGGTTTTATTCGGCATGTTACGCGAAAAATTATTCTTCGCGTTGTGCGATGAGCGTGTGAGAGGATGTGTTCTCCAGACGGATATCTGAGTCACCTTGCAATTGTAGCCGAGGATCGATACCGGTGCAGTCCCGGTTAGTGAACTCATTTCTTTGAATAACAGTCGCAGCAAATAAGATTCAACGTGAAAGAAATCTGTTTATCTGTTTATCTAAAAATTCTTCCCCGCAATATTTGACAATATCGTTAACGATTGAAAAGATTCGTGATAAGATTCATGAAAGCAACGAGTACACGATTTTATAGATTTCAGATCACGTAGTAACATCATGTCCGTTCACCATTCCTTTATCGCTTTATCGCAATCGATATCTTTTAATAATTAAAATACTAGCACGTTAAATGAAATAGCTTAGCATTCATCGCGAATCGAACGGTTCCGTACAACGGGCACAACGATTAATACAATTAATTGCAAATGTATGCGCATGCGATATTGCTTACTAAATAAGTTCGTAAGGATAGTGATTATAATTTCTAATAGTCAGTCGATAAGTCAATTCATATTCGCTGCATGATAAATTATGTGTATTTCTCGCCGAACGTAGTCTCCAAGAATGTAATTAATAGTAATTATTAAAGGAAATTCCTATTTAATCGGAAAAAGTACTTGTTTCGTTACGTATATGCAGATCTTATCTCAAATACTGTATATCCTACAAGCAAAACTACCGTGCATTTATATTACATAATTCCAAACGTTTGCAACGTGTAAACAACTTATCATACTTTTTAATTTGAAAAAAAGGAGTAATTTTTTCTTGCAAAATTATACAAAATTAAGCTTTACTAATTCACAGGTAATTTTCATGGGTAATTCATAGATGAAATAATTTTACTATACTCCGTCCAACGAGAGATCATGGTTGATCAAACATAAATAACGATTGGGCACAAAGTCGCAACAAGGTGTTCGCGTTAAATTATTTTTATTTTTAATAATGTTGGACAATATCTATTAAAAATAAAAATAATTTAACGCGAACACCTTGTCGCGGTTCTACGCCCTATCGTTATTTATGTTTGATCAACCATGATCTCTCGTTGGACAGAGTATAGATATTATTTGCAGGAAAATTTTATTATCTAACATTTTATTATACGGATATATGACGGAAACTAGTGTTATTTGATCGACGGATTTTCCCTCGGATTTCCAGAGTTTTTACTAAAATTTATTTTCTTCTGACGTACATGTGTGTGGTTTTCCTCTGAACAGTAATTTCTTATTTCCTCGAAATATATTTTCTATTAAATTTTTACAGGAAATTGAAACATACGAGGAAACAAAGTTATAACTTTTATGATAATAATTAAAATCTATTATTAGAGACCGTATCAATACTGAAGTTATCATTAATAACTTTTGATAATATATAGCTTTCACAAAAGATTATTTACGAAAATTATTTACCTCACACTGAAAAATGTTCTTTTTCTAACTTGCGTTCCTTGATTCCGGTCAAGCTACATGATTGTCAATCAAAATTGTGAGTCGAAACTCGACAAGTGTAATTGTCATTAATGACCATTCGCGGGCCAAAACGTCACCGTCGCCGGATGACGACACGCGCGTAATCGCAGACGTGTAATTACGCGTGAAGATGATCCACGATGGTCTCTGCGACACGCGGTGTTTCCCCGTTTTTGACTGTTACGAGATAGCCGTGAGTCTTGCATAAAACCTTGCGCTCGCGTGTCCGGTTTGCCGATCGCGTAGCCGACGTCACGGCCGATACAATATTCATGGGACATACACGCGGAAAGTTGGGGCGTATATGTTGATTAACGAGCGAACTTGAAGTTAACGTAAACGTATGTATGCGAAGTGACGTGCTTGTCACGTACCACAACACTCTGACATATAGTACTTTTTGGTGATTTATTATTATTTATAGCACGTTTTTATTCACAACTTGTACGTGCCTTTCGCTCAAAACTTTAACGCTCTCGGAAGATCCAAAAATCTTTCGTATAACCAAGGAATTAAACATCTCTCTTAAGAAGATAAAAAGAGATTTTTATCTGAAAGTAATGTTTAAAGAATATTTCTCTTTTAAATTCTTTTTTGGGAACTCTTTTTACTGAAAAAAATTGCAAAACTAATAAAGGTATATCAGATTGAATAGAGTAAAAATACGGCTACCTGCCATGGGTCGAATATGGTAGGTAAAATAATAGAGCACAATAGAGCATACACATACATATACATACACATAATGCTATTATGTTTGTGCTTCAAAAAGTTGAAACTGATACATAAAAAGCGTATTTTTTGCTCAAAAAATCACTAAACAGCAAAACATGCAGTTTAATGAATTTAAGTCCGCCGACATAACATGTAGTCCTTTGTCTTCCAATTTCTTTCAAGATTTCCAAATTTCAAAAAATTTTTTGTTATTAATTCTAACTTTAATATTAATATAATTATTAATAACAAGTTTCAATTATTAAAAGTAAACATTTTGTTTCCTTATTCTAATTTCTTGTTAAGATCTGACAAAGAACATATTTTGAGGAAACTAGAATTTATTGTACAAAGAAATATGCGTATACGTCAAAGGAAAAAAAATTACCGTCCTTTTTTCTGGGAATTAAAAAAAATCATCCTTTGTCAATCTTTCAACGTTTCCTTAGAATCTTTCAAACAAACAAGCTTTCTGCTAAATAAGTTTTCTATACACTGTATACACTTCTTTTGTGTGGGTGCTTTTTTTCCGCCTATTATATCAATTCTTTTAGAAAAGACTTCACAAATGCACTGATTGCTAGTATTTCGACTCGTCGTGTCTACGTAAATATGAGTTATTATTACAAAGAAACTCCCTTTTTCTCAACAAACCAAACTTGATCCCTCTGAACTCTTAAAAGGCTTAGTTCTCTTTCGTCGCTCGTAGCAGCTACATCATCTCAACTGAATCCTCCTTGCAACTTCGGTTTCGCCAAGCGCCGTCGTCGTGAAGTCTTTAGTCAAGCGAGAGGTCAGTATTTCTATTTATTTCGTTCTTTAAAAAATATTAACATCGCGTCGCGTGTGTGAACAGTATGCACAAATCGACGCGTGATTCACTCTTCGCGGTGCACTGACGGTCGTCTCGAAGTAAATACCTTAAAACCCGATTAAACGATTCGCCGTGACGCAAACCGTTCGACGTCGCTTACGTCACACTTAAATAATAATCATCAACGCCGTTCGCCGTCGCAGGGTAATAAAAGGTTTACGTGCTCGGCATACGGTATCAACTGCCAATGATAATTGAAGGCACGCGATTCGGGCATGTCAAGCACACAAGTCGTCGACGGACGTTGAAAATCTTTCTTTTAAGAGTTGAAGGTTTGGAACAAGGATCTTCCTATAAAACGTTTTAAAAGGTCAAATACTGCAAAACATAAAAATCTCGTGTACGAATATCCGTATCTTTTGAGAATGAGATTCGTCAACGAAAAGAATACTGATGATGAGCGATTTGCATCAAGTGACTGAGTAATAGTACGCGATCTAACAATAAATCTTGATATTAAATCTAATTGATTGAACTTCAGATTATTCATTAACGAAGTGGAAAAATGTACGTTTAAATGATCATAATTCATCGGTATTTCCGATACTTTGTTAATAATGTGCCTGATGAGTTTTCAGTTTATTAATAGTGTATAGTAACCAGTTTCCTTCTATTTTCAACTTTCGTTAAATAATGAAATTGCATGCCTTGCGCTTAAAGTTATTGATTGATCTTAAATTCATTATGGAAGAATGACGAGAATTTCATTGAGAAATTACAGTAACATAATATTATTATGTTACTGTATTATTAATGTCGTTATTGTATTTATAATGTATTATTATGTTACTGAATTATTAATGTCGTTTGTGTTAATTTTAAATAATTCTATAAAATATACACCAAATTATTTTTCCGAGAGAGAAATGACTTTAACAAATTTTACGGATAAACTGTCACCGAGATTCGATTGATAGTTCACTTCAAGGATCAATAATCCTTTTAATGCTTTCTACTGTGCAAACATTAACGCGCCATATGTCTCGCAGTGTAAGAAAATTCTATTTAACCCGTTGGCTGCCATAATGGTCGCTAATGACCAACATTGTCCAAACATTTTAAAATATACTTGTAAGAAATAAATACTAATACAAAATTTTGGATAACATAAATAGCTGGACAAGAAAGTAAAGTAAAAAGCGCGCTATTTATCACTGTCACATAAAGATAAACTTTAATTATATTACATAATATTTTATCATTATACGCGATAACGAAAGTCCTATGGCGCGCGCGATAAAATACGTAAAAGTCGCGAGCAACGCGTTAAATAATTCATTAGATTAATTTTTCCTCCTAGAAGAGAAAATCCGGATTCCATAGAATTGTGTAAATGCATCTCAACGTAAATCCCGTAATTCTCGATAACATTCCGTTCCTCGGGAACTCGCGGGGCGATCCCCCGCGTCGAAAGTCAGGTGGGGAAATTCGATGAATTTCCGACAGCCGCTCGCGAACCGATCTTTCCTAAGGCGAAGCATACGCGATTCGCCTTAGGATCTGGCTCCCACCTACCCGCGCCGACGAGATAGCGCACGTGCATACGTCGACACGACGAGGTAGACGCACGAGCGCCTGAGTACAAGTAGGAGTACCTACTGACAATCGTGCGGCGGCTTCCTTTTATCAGTCAAGCCGAACCGCGCGCGACAAACGTACGGACACCTCCGTGCGGTCTGAAAATCTAACACGCGGACACACCGGGGGCCCTTTCTTGTCACAGTGCGCGACACTTAACAACGCTGGAAATCCTAACGGAGTGCTCGAACTTGTGCTCGCGGGCGGCTTCACGTGAGTCTCGCGAAAGAACGCGCGTCAAACTTCCGGACAGCGAGATATTCGCTCGCGAATCGGTACCGGGGCCGTCATCCAGACCGCTGGTACCGTCCTCAAAGTCAACGGAGTCTCTAGGAACGAGGGCTACATCGGTGAACTTCGACACGCTGGCGCAGATTCGATGTGAGCTTTCTACGTAAGTAACAAATCGTCTGTATCTGGATAGTCTTCTTTTTTATTTTTATCTGCAATTGGTTTAATCCCGAGAGCTTTGTTGTTTGAGTTATCACGAAGTCCGGACAATCAGATAGACGGTTGATCATTGATAAATATAATCGAGAGATTTTCGTGCTTTAATCCTGGAAGGAAATAAACTTAACGCTTGCAAATGTACCCGAAAATCATTATTTGTACAGTAAAAACCGAACAAATGAATTATTTGTGATCACTTTGGTATATAAAAAGAAATATCAGAGAAATTTCTATAAATGTGAAATAAATATAAGACGAGCTAAAGCTGCGTTTCAATATTCACTGCCAGTACTGAAAATCTATAGTTTAGGTCACATACACTACAGATTTTCACTATAGATTTTCACTATAAATTTGCGCTGTACAATTTGTGTTAAAGTTCTAAAATATCCGAATAGATACAAAACTAAGTAATTAGTTGCGAAAATTCTTGAAAGCCAGTAAAGATAAAGGAAGTCTAACTTGCAAATTAATATTTAGAACCTTTTCAAAATGCACATTGTAACTGTACTTTCTTCTGCAATAATGCACCTTGTCTAATAATTAATATTAATGACTTCATGAAGGGACACGACAAAATGGAAAAACTGCTCGCAAATTTCGAATAACGAATAATTTATGCATAGAATGCGCGTACGAAACGATTATCTCGCGAGATATCGCAATTTTCAGCGCGCAAATTATCTTGAACAAAGTCTAAAGTAGAAAGATATTATTTATCTGTTTATGAATACTGTTTGTTCTCTTGCGAGAGTATGTTATCGAATAAAATTATAATATAGTATCATATCATGAAAAGCATTTCTTCATTTGCCACGATAATAGTGTGAAGTGACTGATAAATATACGTATTCAATCGAAACGCCTGATCTAGCACAAAATTAAATCACTATTCACAATTATATTAGCATTAAATTTAATTCATATAATTATACGGAAGAAACAGTCGTAATTACATGTATACAGTTATAATTACAAAAACACAAATACATGTTGAAATAATTATTAATGTAAAATTAGAGGTAGCGATCTATCAAGCTCAATTCAGTGAACACTAATTATTTAAGTTTGTAAATACAATAAAGTAATAAGCAATTTATCAAAATTAAGTCAACGTTTATTTATTTTGCTTATTAAAATAAATGGCAGATACATAATACAAGGATATAAAGAGTTTTCCCAGATTAATCTACTACTTAATATAGTATTAATTATCATATTTTTTTGTTACCTATTATTTCTGCTGTTTATAATTTATTTCGTAATTTATATTTCATTTACAATTCACTTCGGTCGATCTAACTCGGACTTCTCCTCGATTTTTGCGAGGATCGAAAAACTGCAGACCCTTCGTGGGCAGACGTAGCAAAAGGTGCACGCGTCCCTTTTCCGCGCACGCACGCGTAATTCAGTTCCCGCGACACGTGCGATCAGATTAAGTTGCGAACGCGAGAGAGCTTCGGTTGCCTCCATCACCCCAAACGTGCGATCAGATTAAGTCGCGACGCTCCCGCTGATTCTGCATATTGCGTTACACACACGAAGTGTCAGGAGCACCGAGTCCGTCGCGCCGCGCCCGCGCCGGTCGGAGCAACGACTTGACCACTCACGGTTATCGCTATCAATTACCGGAGATATACTATTAAGAAATGTCAATGATTAAAAGAAAGGTTTGTTAAAGGAAAACTACTTCGGCTACTTCAGCCATCAACAAATATCGTCTGATAAGCAATGATGCGTTTAGATAGGGTCGAGCGTTGCATAAAAAGACTCCAACAATCTTTCTTTTTTTATCTTATTAAAAGACATGTGTGAGGGAAACGAAATGAATAAAACAGAAGAAATTTAAGATTTTTGTATCTGGAGAAATAAATATTGCTGAAGTTAAAATACGTACATTTTTTAAAATTATAATAATTAATCATGTGCGTTTAAATTTCCTGTTTGAGAATCGAAGTTCAAGGATCGTA